GTCACTAAAGACACCAACCCTGCATTTGGACTCAAACTATGACCTTTGCCTCCTCTGAGCGCAGAACGGTAATTCTCTCGATTAATCGCACGCAGCTGACTTGCTCACGGCTCTCCCGATTTAGCTGGAGCGCACCCGACCTCTCCAGCCCGGCCACGGACCGCCCCACGGCACCTGCCATCACCTCTTCCTCCCGTGGCAGTGGCTTAGATTGTTTATGACGATACCATTTTTCAATTCGGTACAACACCAATCTTTGAACGGGTTGGAGGTGTCAACAAACAGTCAGGACTCCGGGGAGAGACTGTTTTGAAAGGATTGTGGCAAGAGGAGGAAAGGCAGGAGGGGAGGAGCATTGCAGTCGGGAGAATGTTCCACCGGGGTCTCTGCAGACACCTCAGGGGTTAGGAGAAGGGGGTTCTGAGGCTGGACGGCAGCAGGAGCGGGGGAGCAGTGTCCTGGCCTGAGGCTGGAGGGGAGAGGATTTCCAAGCAGTCGGCTGAGGGGAGGGACACAGTCTTAACCGAAGTTTGTTTACATGGCATTTTGTTCAGACTGACCAGTGGGGACTAAACAGTTGAGCTAAACATTTATGAGGCAAAGAAAGGAATTGGAGGGTCTGTGTCTGGCCTTGTCCTGAGTGCCGATGACCCACTGGGGCGTCCGTGAGTCTGATCCCAGCCTTACGGGGAACCGCGGTTAACTGCAGTGAGCCGTTTCCGACGCAAAGAAGTGGCTAACCTCCCTGTGCTCCAGGGCCACGGGGCTGAGGCTCAATGTTGCCCGAGGACACAAAAAGGAAAAGGGGCAGCACCGCCCTTCAGGAGTTTGGAGACTAAATGAAGAACCCAGAACAATTTACACATGTTCAAAAAATAGCCATATTTATAAGGAGAAGGGAAAGGGAGCCTCGAACATTAATGGACAACCATTCATCCTATCATTCATTGCCTGAGGTCAGGAAGGCAGAATAAGTTACTGAACCAAAGACAACGGAAGAGGCGGAGCTGGGCAGTTGTCGCCCACACTCCCCTTCCTACCTGGAGCGTCCCCTTCCCGGCTCTGGTGACATGGCTTTCCAGGAGGGCAGTAGTCCTGGGAGGGTGATCCAACTGCACGTCTGCACGTCTTCAAAACGGAGGTTAAGCATGACTTCCCGTCGCTGAGAGAGAGCAACAAGCCTGGTGGCCCCAACAGAAAGAAGTGGAAAAGCTCCCTCCGGCTCTCGCTCGGCTGAGGCCGCGGGTGCCCAGCGACTCAGACCGGGTCCTGAGGAAGGAGAGCCCAGTGGGCTCGCTGTGGGGCCCAGGAGGGCCCTCAGGGCTGGCAGGCCAGGCAGTTCGGAGTGGCTCCAGAATGAAGGCCGCAGGCGGGCAGCTAAGTAGAAGACTGAGGGCAGGGACCTGGAGATCGCTGTTCTCCTGGGAGCTTTTCTTCCCTGGATGCACATGAGACTCACCTGGGCCAGGCCGCCTCCCGGCAGAGCCTAATGAGGCCTTTCAGGGCCAGGCCCACATGTCAGGATTCTTTGGAAGCACTCCAGGTTATTTAGGGTGCAGACGGGATTGAGGAGCCCTGTCCTGGTGAGCAGTGGGCATGTCATATACAGGACTTTGAGACGGCCCCCAGTCTGTAGGGAACATAGAGACTGGAGACCTTGAATTGAACGAATTCAGCTGGTGCGAAACAGGGCCGCAAAGCAAAACCTAAACAAATAACAGTAAAATTTAAGCCCGTTCCTGTCACTACTCACCTAAGCGTTTCTTAGCTTTTATTTATATAAATGAAATCAAACACCACACATTCCTTTGTGTCTGACTCTTCTATAATGCAAAATTTATGGCTGTGGGATTCCTACCTGTAACGGTGGATCATTCTTTCTCATTAGAGTAGGTTTTGCATCCTGTGAGTGTACCACACTTTCTTCACCCCCTGCACTGTTAATGAGCACTTGGGTAGTGTCCAGCTAGGGGCAATTACAAACAGACCTGCTCTATTCCTCTTACATGTACATACATGTTCCTAGCAGTGAAACCGCTGGGTCATAGAGTATGCATATGTTCAGCTTTAGATAACACTGCCAAGAAGTTCTCCAAGCACAGCTCCGCCAAGNCATGTACATACATGTTCCTAGCAGTGAAACCGCTGGGTCATAGAGTATGCGTATGTTCAGCTTTAGATAACACTGCCAAGAAGTTCTCCAAAGCCCTCGTACCAGCTGGCATCCCTGCAGTGGAGCACNGTTCAGCTTTAGATAACACTGCCAAGAAGTTCTCCAAGCACAGCTCCGCCAAGCACAGCTCTTCCTCCCGCACGTGCTCACCAGCACGTGGAGTTTCCCATCTTTGTGATTTAAGCCTTTCTAGCGAGTGTCTCCTGGTTTTACTTTACATCCTGTGATCCATCAGTGGCCCTCTCATTTCTGTGGCATCCTAGGGATGAATTCAGGTGAGGAGCCAGATGCCATGGATGGATGGATGGATGGATAGATAGATATTATTACAAATTGGCCCATGTGGTTATAGAGGCTGAGAAGTCCCAAGGTCTGTAGTCAGTAAGATGAAAAATTGATGTGTAGTTTCAGGCCAAAAGCTGTCAGGCTTGAGACCCAAAAAGGGTTGTTTTAGTTTGAGTCCAAAGGCCTGAAGAGACCAATGTCCCAGCTCAAAGCAGCTGGGCAGGAAGAGTTCCCTCTTATTTGTGGAAGGATCAGCCTTTTTCTTCCATTAAAGCTTCAAATGATTGGATGAGGCCCACCTGCATTAGGGAGGGCAAGTTAATCTCATCCAGAAACATCCTCAAGGACACACACAGAGAAAAATGTTTGAGCAAAAGCCCGGGCAACTTGCTGCCCAGTCAAGTTGATACATTAAATTAACCACCACATCTTGTCTGCATCCCCTCCTTTTAACTGCTGTATAGTATTCCACTGTGACTATATATATATATATACACACATATAGTTATATTTTATATCAATGAAAAATATGTACTATTTTATTTAATATTATGTTTGGGAGTTTTATCTATAATGTTATATTAGCTGCAGGTCATTCCTTCTCACACTATTCCATTGTGTGACCACATGGAAATTTATTTATTCTGTCTACTGTTGACGGGCATGTGGGCATTTTCCTGTTGGGAGCATTTTGTTGATATTGTCACCATAACTATTTGAGTTGCTTCTCATTTGTTGCTGAACAGTGTTGCAGAGGCAACTTTCTACATGTCTCCCATATACATACATAAATGCTTCTCTTCAGCAGCCACAGGTCAAAAAATGACCATGAGTGGAGAGAAAACTACACATTCAGAAAGCTCTCTCTCCACCTATTCCCCGTCCGTGGCATCTACCATATTATCTCGCTCCACCCTCACCACAATAGGACTTAACCAGCATCGGTCCTCGCGCAGAAGTGCCTCACCGATTTTGTTTATTAACGTCTATTGACGTAAAGCACACCTACAAACAGTGCGTGCATTTTAAGCGTGTAGCGCAGAGCATTTTCCTAAATGGAGCACACGTAAGTAATCCAGATAAAGAGCTGGATCTCCACCACGGAGAGTGGAATGCTGCATACAGGACAGGTGATTTCATCTTCGCCGGTGCTGCCAAATTGCCCTGCAAAGCGACCACGTCAACTCTCTCACACAGGAAGTGAAAATATACCCATTTCTTGTCATCTCTGGAACACTTGAGGCGGTCACACCCTAGTTTTGCTCTATGGATAGGCAGAAATTCTGTCCTATTGTTTTAAGTTGCTTTTCCTCAATTTTTAATATTACTGAGCATCTTTTCGCGTTCATTTGCCGGTGGGCCTGTTTTCTGCGCATCTCGCTGTGGGGTGGTCCTGCTCTGACCCTCTCTCTAAGCGCCCACAGCTGACACGTGTTTCCGCACAGCTTCCCCTCCGTGCCGCCCTTCGTTACATGGCTTAGCGCCTTCCCACCTTCCCACGCGGCACGCTTCCCGGGCTCCCTGGCCACGCTACAGCTTCCCCGGGAGCCTGCATGAGGACTGCAGCCTCTTAGGGTCATCAGGACGCCTGCTGCCTCTAAGGCCAGGTGTCGCTGGCCAGTGGCTGCGGGTATTGGGCTCAGGGAGCGCTTTCAGTGTAAGTGGCCAGTACTGTGCGTTACAGTAAAGGCACCACTGTCCAAGAATTTCCGAAGACGCGGGTCATCACCTCATTCCCATCGCCAGCTGTGGGGCCTGGGACAAGTCACTCTGCTGCCCAGAGCCAGACTTTTCTGGTGTAAACTGAGAAATACCCTGCCTACCTCGCAGGGTGGTTTTGGATATCAACGCAGGACACCGAGGGGCTTAGAGTATTTCCCAGGCACCTGTCCCCGTCGTCACAAGCGATGTGGCTCATTGAGAAACGCAGACCGCAGGCTTCTCAGAGACCTGCCCTGTGCAAAGCTGGGGTGGACCCGTGGGTGCGAAACGCAGCTGTGCTGTCTGTTTGCTCCAACAACGTGCAGGTACTAAGTAAACGGCTGGGTGACGATTGTAAGTCAGAAGGCAACCTTGGCTGAAACAAAAGCATAATTATGATGGGATTTCAGGAGCGCAAACATGACCTGAATCCATCAACCTGTGATTAGTCCAGATTCCTCTATTGCTGAAACTGTAGCTAAAGGGTGTGTGGGAGGGGGCCCTTCGGGAAGGAAAAGCACAACTGGGCTGCCCAGGGAGCTGCCCCTCGGATGGGGCGCAGGCCCGGGCGGGACTGTGGGGGAGCTGAGGCTGTGCCAGCTCCTGATCGTGGCTGCTGAGGAGAGAGCAGCACGTGGGTCCTCCCTGCCGTCAGCAGAGCTGAGCTCTTCAATGAAGTGGGCTCCGGGAGGGCTCTGCCTCTGCTCAGCGGAGCTCCGGCCAGAAGCCTTGGGAGGCAGGGGCGGTGCAGCTGCTGCCGGGCTCTCGGGAGGACCTGGACTCTCTCCCTTGGCTGTGGGCTCGGGGACCGGGGACAGCTGGGCTCCACGCCACCCAAGCCATGCCGGCCAACCTCACAGAGGGCAGCCCCGATGCCAACGGGACCGTGCAGACGCTGGATTCTCACTCGGCCGTCTGCTTCCCCACAACTTTTGCAGAAGGAGTGGAAGAAGAGGAGCGGGGGTCCTTCTACTCCTCCTTCAGGGTAAGTGTCCCGCCTCCCACTTCCAGGCGGATTTTAAATAACGGGACAAGTGGAACTGAAGAGACCTCCCGCAAGTATAAAGAGCCAGGATTGCAGAGGGGGCAGTTTCTTCTCTTTACTTAAAAGAATGAAATAGAAAACCAAGCTGGTGAGCTAGAGCCGCAGGTTCTGCACACCGCGCAGGGACCTGTTTTGTAGTTTTTTATGAATAGGGGTCTTTTTTTTTCCTGCTGCTGGTGCTGAAAACGTGTGAATATGAGTGGATGATTGTTTAAAATTTCTCTCCTTTCCTTAGGCGCAAGTATGTTGAATTCATCCTATAGTCATGCTTGAAATGTCTGTCTTCTAGGGGTAGTGCTGTGAGTTTTTTGCGGGGAACGTCAGAGGGGTGTCATAGCCCACATCCCCCGGGGACAGGAGGTGCCAGGGGAGACGCAGGCCCAGGAAGGAAAGAAGGGACACACTTTCTTTATTGATTCTTTGCACTGAGTATCAGTTAAAAACAGACTCTTGGACGCTGGGTGGTGTGACTGTTGGCAACAAGTGGTCTCCTAGAACAAAGGCATCAGAGTTTGGTGAGTTTCAACTTGAAAGGATGCGGGGGCCACATGGGGGAATTGATCCTCATTAAGAATTGACACTGCTCCCTTCTCTGCCACAAGGCTGTGGTCAGGGCCAAACCGGGCAGCAGGAAAACAACAGTTTCCTGCTTGTTGCGGCAGGATGCCTGAGGTGTTCAGATCATTCCACACGTGCCCATTGGCACATCCGGTCATTGCATCAATTCCCAGGTCTCAAACGGGTCCTTTATACCCACATGGAAAACACTTCAAGAAAAATTCTAGCAGTTCTTTTTTTTAAAAAACCCTCTTGGTATTCTGGAAATAATTTGGTTTTTACCCAACAAGGTAGAATTACGGTAACATCCCCCTTCCTCCTGGAGCTTTGCTTCCCTGCAAGACTTTCAGCAGGGAGCTGTCTCTGGGGCCAGGCTTGAGCTCCTCAAGGCGAAGACTCATCCATCGCAGAGCAGGAGTGAGTCACGCAGGCCGGCGGCNAGCAGGGAGCTGTCTCTGGGGCCAGGCTTGAGCTCCTCAAGGCGAAGACTCATCGCAGAGCAGGAGTGAGTCACGCAGGCCGGCGGTGGGGACCCAGTCCCTCCGAGCCACCTGGTAGAGCAGGCACACGCCCAGCCCAGCCGCCAGCTCCACGCAGAAAAGCACGGGGAAAGCGGGGCGTGTTGCCATTTACCGACGACTGACAATCCCGCCCGTCAACTGCCGCAGACCCGGAGCCTCTGCCCTGGAGAAGCGGCCTGCGTGCGCTCGGCTCTGCCTCTGCAGCCTCTTTGATATTTATAGGACGTGACAGCAAACAGAGCGAAGAGAGCCCGGCCACCGCGACGGGGAATAATGGGCAAGAAGGCCTTTGTTCTGAGACGCAGGCAGTAATCACTAGAGCTGGCCCTGGCCGGGTGTTCAGCTGGTTAGAGCGTCGCCCTGACACGTCAGGGTTGCAGGTTTGATCTCGGGTCAGGGCACGGACAAAAATTCACCCAATGAATGCACAGATACGTGAAACCACAAATCCATGTTTCTCTCTCTCTCTTTCTCTATCTTTAAAAAAAAAAAATCACTCTCAGCCGAAACCCTGTTTGCCGTTTTTTAAAAATTCAGCTCCTGAAGGGATATTTTGACTCTCTGGACAAACAAATCGCTGCCCGCTCCCCACTAGGGTTTGTGCTTTGTCCTGGCAACGTCTTCTCCGGGCACCAACAGGAATCGCCTTGTTTCTCTCTCATTCCTGTTGACATGTTTGCCATCAAGCAACTAGATCGCTGGAGGAGGGAGGCAGGAAGAGAGCAGGTCAGGCGCTCACAACGTTCCATCTAATTTTTTGAGAGGTGAAAGCATTGACTTAAAATAATGATTGTTTTTAGTGCCACACAATCCGCAGTGGTGTTTTGGGGAACCCAGCTGAAATGTCTCAGTCTAACTTTCTCCACGGCCCCCTTGGAGCATAAGCAGTTCTGAGGCTCTGCTGATGCAGAAACAGTTCTGATAAAAGAAAATTAAAACACCCTTGTTCACAGGGATGCTTTTATCCCACATGCAGCTCAAGGAGAAAGTGAGAATTGTGCTTGCTTACTGTCTGTCAAGCATGGCCTTTTAATCCCCGTTGCCTTTACAAAAGCAGTTCAAATATTATAAAACTAGAAATGGCAACAGCAGTAAAAGCAGCAGAACTAATAACAACAGCAACATCCATCCATCTCATTTGCTGTGGGCTTTCTTGGGGACGGGAATCCTTGTAAATGACTTCTGAGAAATATCTCATTTAATTCTCACAATTCACAGAATATCCTTCCACCTGGAATTGACTTCCGTTATCATCTGTGTTTATCTAAGTTCTACTCACTCTTTAAGGCTCCTGTAGGTTGCTTCCTCCACGAAGCCCCCCTGGACTTATTCCTCCTCTGAATTCCAGTAGTGCCGTGGCATGTACCTCTCCCCTTGTGATAATCCAAGTCTGTCTTCATCTGCTCTTTCAATATCTGTAACAGTCATTAAGCTCCTTGAGTGCAAGCAATGCCTGATGTTTGTTTCAGATTCTCTCCAGAAACCAGCACCACCCTGGGCATACTCGATAAACATTTATTGCAGAAACGAAGTGTGGTGTTCTGTTCTCTCAGTTGCCTACATGTTGTCGTACGGGGAAACAGAAAGCTTGCTTTCCCCATGAGGGCGGTGGGGGTCTTATTAAACAGGCCAGCCCTGCCCGGCCTGGCCTCTACCAGCTGTACTCACCGAGGCCCTTCTCTGCAGGCCCATTCAGCACATCCCCATCCGATTTCTAAGCCAGCGTGCCCAAGGCAGGTTATAGATTCCGGTGGGTGGGGTATGGAATTGTTTATGGCACCTTGGACTGGGACCCCTTACCTGGTTCAGCCCAGGGGAGCCTGTACCCACTGCATTGCAGCCCTACCTAGACTCAGCTGTCTTGCCTCAGCCACATGCCTGGGTTTCTAACTTGGTTTCCTACCCAGCACTCTAGTTCTCCAAACCCCAAAGCTCTCTTGGCAGAAGACAAGGTATCCCTGTCTAGATCTTACGAGCCCCTCCCTCACAGGTTAGAGCCTCTTTACCCTTCCCATCTCCACCCCCAAATTCTTGCCCCGCTTCCCCCACCGCTCTAACCTACTCTGCCACCCTAAGCATGTCTTCAGATATCAGCAGGGGGCAGGGGTGAGTTCACCACTTTCTTCCTCTATCATGAGCTTCAAGTGACTAACACTCTGTGGTCAGTCCTGGGTTCAAGGTCCTCGGTTCAGGCCCTGGTTTCCTTCCCAGTTTTCAATTTCTCATACTTTCAAGGTCCCATCCAGTTCAGTTCCTCAAGTCCTAAACCTCAGCATTAAGGAATTGGCTGGGCATCAAGAATCTACCAGAAGTTTCCAAGGAAGATGGGACCTGTCTTGTCGGAAAGTAAACTGGGGACCTGAATAAAAAAACTGTCCCAGTGGAAGACAAATATGGAACAGTAGCCTCTTCATAACAGCCTTTAACTCGGCCGGGGAATTCGCTAGCAGTGAATCTCAAATCCCAAATCTCTGATTCTAATGATGAGAAAATGAATTCAAAGTAACCGAGAGGGAAGCCCGGCTCGATTAGTCACTTGCTTATGTTATAAAATAATGCAAATGAACTCAGTTTTATTGCTCGTAGGTGAGGGGAGAAGCATGAACCAAGACTGCTAGATATTACCTAATGCTAATCTTTTATTAAGTCTCCTTTAGTGAGTAGTTACAAACGGCACCCAATTAGTCTAATTGTTTGTATGCAAATGATGGCTTCTAATCGCTTGAAGGTGATTGGCCACCGTCTGGCGCCCCTCCCCCCTGCCTGCTGCCTTCCTGTTCATTTCCTAACGCATCCTTCCCCCATTCATGTACCGAATGCGAATTCCAGTCCAACCCTTCTCCCAGTTATCGCACCCTGGGCTGCAAGCAAGAACCCAGCTTAAGGAGTTTAAGTCCCCTGTGCGTGCTTGTTGTCCCTGTATCGGGGCTGTAAGGACTCACTCTCCCTACGGGACCAGCAGTTTCACCTTCAGTGGCTGTCACTCAGACTCCTCTCTGCCCACCTGCCTGCCCCCCAGAACCCTCCTCTTCTGCCACCACACCCCTTTGGGACTCGCGTGTCTCCATTCCTGCCCTGGCCCCCAAGACACCGTCAGTGATGTCCTTCCTGGAGCCCAGGAGCCCTGGGTCCCCTCGGCTTCCCGTGTGTCTCCCGCAAGTTATAACAGGGCCCTTGCACTCCCATCACGCATCTGCACCGTCTTCTCATTGGTTCCACTGAGCATGTTCGTTCGGAGTTTCCCGGTTGAGTCCTGCAGCTGTTCCAGGGAAATCACTGCTCGTGTCGCTGGGCCAAAGGGTTAGTAAGGGCTGCTCTTCACTGCCTGCGCCCGCCACCCAGACCTCACGCTCCACTCCCGAGTCCCCGACCCTGGCAGGCCCACCGTGCCCGACTTCACCCCGTGCCCTTGAGAAAGGCTCCGGCGTTGCTGGCTGGCCCCACGAGGATGCCGTGCAGTTGCCGAGCTCGACACCCGAGCTGTGAGAAAGGAAAACTCTATCAGTTACATTTCTCTTTGTGTGACTGATGCATCTGGTGGCAGGTCACATATTCTTAGCTAATCCAGAGTAAGCTCAGTCATTACAGAGTTTTCGGCCTTTGAAGGGTTTTCCGTTGTCCGACTGGGGAAGCGTGGGAGCCGCAGGGGGTGAGGGAGGGTGGCTTCTGCTTCGTGATCACCAGTGTGGTGGGAGGAGAGAGGGCCAACCCAGGGAGGGATGTGAGCAAGGTGGCATCGGCCGAGATGAAGAGTCCTTCTGGCCTTCAGAAGTGGGCATCCTGGTCCCCACCCAGCCCAGGCCAGGCTTGCTCTGCCTTCTGCTACAGCGCCCCTTTGTCATTCCTCCTTCAGGGACACGG